TCGCTCAACATGAAGAATTAGCTCAACAAACCAAAGAAGAATCCATATCACAGAATCACCCTTGGAAGGGTGAGAAACCACCACCTAATAAAGACTGAATAAAAAGAGAAAAGGGATCCCGATAACCAACCATAGGAAGAGTTCATTCATATTGGAAGTCCGGTGCGGGCGTTAAGACTTACTTTACTAACGTTCGGTACCCATATAAAGAGGGGTACCTACACTCTCAGTCAGTACTAGAAGGAGGTACCTTCTTCCGAGGAAACAAGGTCTTATTCATATCCTAAGTACCCGAGCGAGGGTCGGATAGCACGAGGTAAGTAGTTATGTTGCTAATCCTAAATAAAAATCGAAGACCAAGAGGTTCACTTACAACCAATTGGTCACTTCACTGCTTTCAGTAGCTTAAGGAGTTGTAAAAGGGTAGTCCTTGTTGTTATCATTCGTTATTACTTCCACCAGGGAAGTCACTCACTTGAAGAGGGCCCCAACCCTTGTTTGCTGAGCAGAGGTGAGAGGAAGCAGATAGGCAGCCCTCGTGAAGCTGTACACTCCCTACATTGCTCAACCTGTTTCCCCAAACCGTTCTAAGGAGGGGGCTATTGAGTTACTTTGCATATCTATAACAAGATTGTCTACTGACAAACAGTTGTTATTAAAGGAGCTCAAGTAGGGCCTATCTAATAAACTCTCAAGGTATCTTAGGGTCATACAGTGAGCTTTTCATACCAGGAATACTAGCTACAGTTGCCCTGCGGGGCTATCACACGGAGAAACAATTCCCTCCGGGGAGCTGCCAATAGAAAGCATTAGTATGCTATCAGTTGTTTAAGGAGCAGGATTGTGTATGATAATTCATTTTCAGGTGGTACTTATTATTGAAGAAGACGGAAACTACAGACGGGGAAGGAAAGAGGCAAATAAATAGATGCTCCGGGGAAAGCTTTGAGCTTAGCCTAGTATGGTGAATCAACAAAGTAGCCCCTATCACGTAAAGAGCGCTCACGTTGTGAAGTCTAGTTGGGAAAAGCAAGGATGGCATTAGTCGCTGTCAGCATTAGCCTTTGCCGAACCCCTTTTATTTTAATAGGATGACCTTTCTTTCAGATAGAATTTCTATTTATTAAGAATTTCACTTTGCATGGAAAGGTGAGCACGAAAGCTAGCATAGGGAAGGCAAAACCAGTCCCAGTTTACTATTTTCTTTCTGGGTAAATAGGTTTAGGTTTGAGAACTCGCTTTCAAATCCTTGCGATTCTTTCTGTGAAAGATCGGCGTATCTGGATTCAAAGAGAGAGAATATCTGGTCTCCGCCCCTTGCATCTCAAGTCTCACTTCCTTCTTCTGCTAATGCTACTCCCACTATATTATCGTAAATATACTAAACCACTATTCTAAATAATATAATGGGACTTATCCTGTTACAAGGTGGACAACTACAACTAGTGAGACTCAGTCTAAATGTAAATGAAACTTCCACTCTCAGGCAGGCCAGTTCTTTACATCTTTGGAAAGCGCATTGAAATGCATTTCAAAATTGGCATTGATTGACTTAGCTCACTAAGCGGATAACCCTTTATCAAAATAAAAAGGGTTCTAATGTCAACTTGAAACATGAAACTACCCACTTTAGTAACATCGATTTATCCACGACAGCTTCATCCGATAGTAAGTATCACATCGACTGCCCAGAGCGCCCCCTCGGATATAGGAGGGCTCTTTTCGGGCGTCTGTGAGCACTATCGGGAGTGGATGCTTATTTCCGGCAGGCAATTACCTCCGCAATGGTCAATACCTGACTTTGTGCGGACGGTTCTTGGGAACGAGGCTGTTCAAAGCGCCTAAATCCTTCCCTGGGGTCGCACAGGCCTCTCTTTCCGGTCTATAGGTCCCCGGCTTTTGGAGCAGGAGACGGTTAGGATAACGAACGTCGAAACGAGTACTTTTCACCTAAGTGGACATTGAAAAGAGTACTTACGAACCTTTTCTTGCTTTTGGCTTTGTTGGTCGATGAAATGATTCTTACTTATTATAGATGTTTGTATGCCTTATTATTCCTCCCTTAACAAGGAAGGAGGGAACGCATCATCAATTTCAGTTGTACACCAAGCGACGGCGATGAAATGATTATGCAGCTTTGGCCTCTTCCAAAACTTGTTTTCTTTAGGAGGTCCGTCAGAGGGGCGGCAATGAAAGAGATTCCCCTAATGAACCGATAATTAGCGGTAATACAGCCCAAGGAAGGAGCAGGATTCGAACCAGCGCTTCAGAGCCAGGATCAAACTCTTCTTTTGAGTATGATGCCGATGGAATGGTTATTAGGGATAGCCTTCGTCGACCTGTCCCTGGCCACAGGTAGGCGATCGATGAAATGATTCTTAGTCCGGACCGGTCTACATTCAGCTTACTACGGGCTTTGAAATATGCTTTCACTTTCTTTTCTTTGTGTACCGCTACAGCCAACCATCAACCGCTTCTGAAAAGGAACAAACAAGGGCTTTCAAAGAAGCCACAGCAAATAGCTACTCTACGGAACTTGCTACAGCGTACTACGTTCAATACTAATCCTCGAAAGAGGAGGCAACGGCTTACATATATATAAGATATAGCGGATGTAGCCGAACCTGCAACGGAGGAAGCAAGGGCAGAGACTACTGACCCTGGAAAAAGTGCCTAGCCGTACGAGACGAGTCTGGGAAGCAGGGAATCCTAAATCAGAGGGTTCCCTCAAAATAGAGAAGGCCGTCAAGTCCGAGGAAAGGGTCTTAGGTATTAAAGGCGGCGATAGAACTTCAATTGAATCGACCATGGAATCAGCTATAATGAAGCTGCCTAAGCGTCTGCCATTGTATTGTAGCAAGGGATCGCCTTCTTTGGAGGATCAGCCTAAGCTTTAAGCAGTAGCTAGTTTAGCTGCTTCTTCGGTAGGGGAATCCACCAGAAGCCGTTCCTTGATTGGTGACTCAGGACTTGTTGGCTGCCTTAGGGTGTAGGGAAGTGAGAGTCCAACCAGGCTGCAATACAACAATACAATACGTAAGCTCCATCCGAGATATTATATGTTATTATAAGTAAGCCGTTCTGCGGTAGTAAATAAAGTAAAGGGAGCTGATCTCATGTAAAGGGGGCTGACCCGACTAATAGAAGGGGAAAATAGACCCCAAAGGAGGTTCTTCTATGTCCAAAACAAAGAACAAATATTTATACCAGTATCCCTTTACCGTACAGCTTGAACTTTAGACCGTTCTATACCCGGGTAGGGAGATTCTGAAGTAAGAGAAAGCCAATACCTAAGTGACTCTTTCTTACCTGATAATGAGGCTCGTACTACGAACCGAACAAGGGCGCTAAACAAGGCCTCGTACCGTACTATGGTCCTTCGCCCCCAACAAGATTGATTCAATTCCCCAAGCTACGTCGATTCAATTCCAAAAGCAACTAAGGCGCCGGTAATACAAAAAGCACTACTCTTGTTGAGGCCCCGTATAGACAACTATTAATGGTCGTTAGGAGTCATAGGGGTGCTTGCCCTTCCTTAGTTGGTTGGGGAAAGAGATCCTACATCGATAGTTATTCTATTCTTCATTATATAGAATAACTATGCTAGGCGGGTTACCAGAGAAGAGGGGTTAAGCTACATCTACCACGTAGACTACTGAGACTGCTACTTCTACTTGCTTTCTTTATATATGCGCGCTAGCTTTTTGACGACTGAAAGGAGAGGAAGCTTTTGCTCCCGATCAAAGAGAAAAGGTAATTGACTTCCTGAACGACAAGTGGAACCACAGGCGAAGAGATAGCGTTCAATGAATCAGATAAATTCTTGTCACGAGCTGGACTTGAACCAGCGAACTACCTCACCTTTCATTCTGATCGTGACTTCCAAAAAGAAAGAAGAGAAGGAATGGGGGGTTGGCGCCGTTTAACGGATTGCTTGCTTACCAAGCGATCCTGGCCTCTCCTGGCCGAACTCGCCAAAAAAATAACAATAGAAGAGATCTATTTACCAGAATCGCTTCGTTTTATACGGTAAATAGAGATCCCTCATTAGGTTTGGCTCTCTTTCTAAACGAAGGATCCATTCCCGAATGTCGGGGATCGCTTCGTTTTCCACCTCGAGATCGTTCCGGATTATGGAGGCGCCCGCTTCAAGAAAAGAAGCGTTATCTCGGGATTGTCTCCAGACTGGGAGATCGCGCTCACAATAATGCCGGAGTTGGTCGGAAACTAGCCTATGAAGGCGTCTCAGAAGATCTCCCCTCTCCCCCTCTTCTTGAAGGAATGGGATTAACGGAGCCGGCGGATTCCCTACATGGGTATCTTGTGCCGGGGGGCTAGGATTCGAAGGGACAGGATGTGGATTATTGACACTTGCTTCGGAACTGGCGCCAGAACTGCTGCCCAGTACAGATGTCCATCCTTGGTTGTCGCCAGAACTGCTGCCCAGTACAGATGTCCATCCTTGGCTGGCGCCAGAACTGCTTCCCCACTCCCCTCCAGCCGGAGCCATCATGTTCTCCGGATAAAAGATTGGTAAAAATGGGCCCCCCCACCCCAATTGCTTAAAGAGGTACAGGATCGATTTTCTGACAAGCATGGATTGAACTCTTTCAAAAAAGAAATTCAAATCCAACCCCAGAAAACAAAATAAAAAGTAGTAAATAATAATAATAATAAAAACGAATATTACCTGTCTTACCGAAATCGGATTTCCCTTGCGTGCCATATGCGCTTAGACTTCACTTTTTCCCCCTTTTTCTTCCCCGTCCAATATTTGTTCTCGTGTAAAAGCAAACTCTCCAAATTTATGACCAACCTCCACCGTACGTACCTTTCGCTGCTCTTATACTCCCTGGCACTCGTGTCGCCATACCCCCCCGCGGCATTTCCATCGGACGGGAAAGGCTAGCAGATCTTTTCTTCGTAAGGGGCTCGATATGTCCCTGACTCTTTACTAAACCTAGGCCCACCCTTTCTTTGAACCTTGTCAATGATCGAACTTAAAGATATGAACTGAGTGCCATTTGATGAGTAACTGAGAACAAAGGAGAAGGATATGGAAAGAATGAAGTAATGAAAGAGGAAGTCATTGCTAGTAGTAACGACTTGTCACGATCCATTGGTTCATATAGAATCCATGTCCTAGGTGTATCAAAAAACATTCTTTTCGCTAAGCGTATATAATAAAATAGAGTGAAAGGGTCCACCCCGAAACCAAGGGGGTACTAACTAACAGCTGAGTCCTCTCCGAACCGCAGGAGATAGTTGCCCATCATACGGCTCACCAACTTCACTTGCCTCTATGGGAGGCTCGCTCCGGGCAGGTTCGGATCACTTACAATACACGGGCTCTACGAAGGAAGGGGTTAGGAGCGTTTGAAATATGTAACCAATGAAATACTGTATTTGTTCGATGAGAAATGCGAGTCTATTTTGTCCACTTTCTGCATCCCCCTCTATAAAAATGATCAAAAAGGAAGGCGAGCTTGCTTCTTATTCCCGTGTTTGATCTCTTCCATCTCTGCCTGGCTCGTTGTCACCTATGTTGAAGAAAGGTTTGGAACCTTGTAGAGAATGAAGAGGGGCCAAGGATCTTCCTCTCAACAGTGCTTTTCGAGGCTCCCCCCTGAATAAGTAAGGCCCCGTTAGCCTTAAGAAGATGGGGATAAAGAGTAAGGATTGAAGCCCCCTTAGCTCTGCCAGGCACTGGACAGGGGTTAGCTTTGTAAATGTGTAGAGCCCTGTGTAGTGTGGTGTAGTAGTAGGCACTTCTAGGCCCCTTCCCGGCTACTGGATCACTCCAGTGCTTCGGGTACTACGGACCCTCTGCCATCCATTGCAGCAGAGCCGTTTCATGAGTGGGGGGGCTAAGCGCAGTTCTTTGAATCAAACGTTGAATGAAATCGATTCTTTTTAGATATAAAAATAGAAATCAGATAGCATAGATGGATGGATCTATCTTTCTATTCATATATTACTAAAAAAAATGGATATTTATAGTAAAGTAGCCTAGCAAGAAGCCCCAAATCCTTTATTTGGCCGGGAAAGACTGCTTTTGACCCAGGAAGCGAAGGGAATGAGCTCGGCTGCTTCTCCTCCACACTTCTTTTTCTCCGTGCCCGTTCCGCATGCGCTTCGCGCGCCATTGGCGCTTTCGCTTTGCTCTCCTCTTATTCTTCATTGGACGGTTCGGATGGACTTCGCCGTTCTTTCCCAACTAAAATAGAAAGGGCTGTATCACATCGAGATGTCGATTCGTTTTCCGCCCCCAATGAGATGGGGAATTTGTAACCCCCTATTTAGACTTTTGGGCCCTTCATCTTTCTGAATCGAGACCCGGCCCGGCTCGCGTCGTTCCAACAACCGGCGGGGAGCACCTCAGTATACGATCGCGCGGAGTAACTGGGAGTCATTACACCTAAGGCCAACTTCAATTCACCAAACTAAGGTTCATCTCGTGTAGTGATTGTGGACTCGTACAAGGATATTGAGTAGACGGTTTCTGTATCAGACTCGACCCTATCTTTCGTAGCATGCATTCCCATCCGTGTCGCAACTGATTCGGTAAGCTACGTGTCCGGTGCACGGAGAACTGCCTTCGGTCCCCCAAACTTACTTACTCGTGGAAACCTTCCGGCCGCCCAACGACCTATAACGCTAGTCACTACTCCCACTGGGGCTAGGAAGTAAGCCCCACAACCCAAAGCGGCGAAGAACAAATAGAATTTGCTACAAAAGCCGGCTAACGGGGGTATTCCTGCGTATGAGAACATAGTAATGGAGAAGGTAATTGCCAAAATAGGATTCGTTTTGGCTAGAGCGCCCAAATCAGCTATATATTTGACACGGGTTTGGCGTAATGCTAAAACTATGGCGAATGCATCTATCGTCATTGATGCATAAATAAAGATACCAATTAGTAGTGATTGAATTCCTTCTATGGTTCCACATGAGAAACCAGTACGAATATAACCTACATGTCCAATTGAACTATGAGCTAGAAGTCTTTTGACTTTCGTTTGGGCCATGGCGGCCAGTGCTCCTAAGATCATAGAAGCAATGCTGCAGAAAAAGAAGATTTGTTGCAATGTAGCTCCATAAGAACCATAAATAGAAACACGTGAAATATTAGCAGAAATAGAGATTTTAGGCGCAATAGAAAGGAATGCTGTAACCGGGGTGGGTGAACCCTCATAGATATCAGGTGCCCACATATATAGAGTCAAAAGGGATATGGAGTCCGAAGGGGAGGGGGTTTTCTTCGGGGCTCGAGAGATGGAATAGATAGGGCCCCACAAGTTTTGAATTCGTCGCTGGGGAATTCACACGAAAGGGAACGAGGAATTATCAACGAAAAAAGTGCTCTCTGAACCGAACGTGAAAGTTGTTTTCCATCAGACGGCTGTTCCCGTAACTCTACTCTCGACTTGGATTATATATCCAAAAAGGTCCGCTCTCGGCCATTCCACACGCTGCCTAGCAGAGGCGTGGTTATCTGAAGTGGATTCTCTCTTTTGTAGTAGATGCCGAACCCGCTGTGCCCCATTGACTAAGAAGGGGGCGGACGCAGCAGCTACATGGACCCCTTCCTTTCTGTTGTTGCCAGCGCTTTCCCGGGCCGAGCTGGAGGCAGGCAAAGCCCGAAGGCTGCTATCCCAATAGGCCAGCGGGCGGAACGAGGAGAGGGCCCGGCAATCATACCACGGCGGTCAAAAAAGCGTGTTCCCTTCAGATAAGACGCACCGTAGGCCATCCTCGGCCTTCTTCGTTTTCGATGAAAAACAAATCTCGATCTCCGAAAGCGTTTTCCTTCCCCCGCCGCATCTCCCTCCCTTCGTCGAGTCTTTCCTTTAATGGTTGGGGAAAGCATTCCCTTATCTGAACTTGGTGGGCATTCCTTCCAGCCTTAGTAAAATAGGGGGTGGGTTTTGGTTTTCACATAGGCTCAAACATGATTTGAAGGGTCCTAGCTACGCCATGCGTTCAATACAAAATCTGGAAAGCTGCAGGGATGACAAAAAGAGGGCGCAGTCACTTTCATTGTTGCACTGAAAAAAAAAGGACCTAAGAGAAGAGCGTCTTCTCTTAGGTTTCTTCCTCCCGCGCCCGTCGCCGCCCGGCCCGCGTTAGAGGGGAAGATTAGCAAAGCGGGAAAAGACAGAGGGAAGGGGAGCAGCATCTTATTCTCTTCGCGAGAACTTCCGGATCGGAGAAGCATTCGGAACGGGCGTAGCGTTCATTTCGTTGGCAGAAACGATCCAATCCATTCGGGGAACCCAAAAACGAAGTATTTTGACTGAGAATCAATGATAGATAGACAAGAGATAGATAAACGATATCTAGATTTCTCTAAAAAAAAAGAAAGTATGAAGTGGTAAGAGCAGATAGATCCTATCCCCTATATCGAACACTCATTCCTATCTATTGATAGATAGATCTTCGTCAAATACCTGACTTTGCCTTTTTTTAGGAATTCCTGATATCCAAGGCAGCTTATCACAAGCACCCCACCCCATACGACTAGTTGGAGGGGCTGTTCGCCTTTTGAATCAAACAAAGTAAGTAGTAGGGGCTTCATAGCAACTTTCATTCTAAAGGAAAGCGAAGAACAAACCTTTAGTCAATAGGAGCCCTACTTCCCTCTTTCCGACCTCATCACTTCAATGAAAGGGCAAACCCATTTCTTAGTCACCGGGCTGAGCGCACCCTTGGTACTTCAATAGGGCGAGCTGTTTGATAGTGACTTCTTTCGTTTGGTAGGGCGACGAAAGGCTACTTCAATCTAGGAAACAGCCGGAAACTCGAGAGGGTCGCCTTTGGAAGCGTTCACCGGTAACAAAAGCCTCACGACATAATCAAAAGGAAGGAGTGAGGCTGACTGAATCCAATCCATAAACCCGGAAATGAAACAAAGTTCGTTCCCTTTCGTCAAGTAGGTAAAGTAGGCATACGAACCACTTTGCCTTAGACTCTATTGGAACAAAGCAAAGAAGGAGGCGGAATGGAGAAAGGAAAGGGACAAGGGCGGTCTTGCTTGGCGCGAAGGCTGCTGGTTCGGGGGTAGAGTACAGTACTAAAGGTCCTCGGACTTCCAGGCGGTTTTTCTTTTGGGAAGCTGTTCACCGTTGGATCTCGCCGATACAGCCCCCTATAGTTTTCGTTACCGAGATATCTTTTTTTTTATTGTTCCCAGGGATTTTTTGGGGAATCTGCTCCCATGCTGCAAACAGTAAAATCTGAACCTTGTCGCTCTTCTTTCTTTCCTCGCGAGCAGGAAGCACACCAGCAGCGTGCGTTGCGTGATTCTACTGTGTTTTTTGCACTTGACTGGGTGGACAGTTGACCGGAAGATAACTTCGATTCGCCCGGCCAGCAGGCGGGCGGCGTGCTTATCTTGTGTGACAACACTACAGAGCGAGTGGCTCTTCTAGGCGGGCAGCTGTGTGACAACACTACAGAGAAAGCGGCGCTTTCGTGTAACATGCTATGGTCTCAACGCCCTTACGAGGTAGTGATTAGTTTCACGCGCTCTAAGCCCGGCCCGCGCGCGGTTAGGAAGATTGGCCGCAATCTGAGCGGTACCACCCACCCTACCCTACCACCTATAGGCGGCCGTCCATCCTACAGCCGCCCGAAAAGGAACTGCAGTGATCTTGAATAGGAATCCTACAGCGATAAATAGAATCCCCATAAAAATACCACTAGATCGAGCACCAGTGATTTCGTATCCGGTCAAAATCTTGGCTAATTGATCGAAGTGGGTAGCTCCAGTAGACCCATAGATCATGGAACAAATAGGGTGGGTAGGCCCAAGCACCCCACTACACGTATAGACGCGAACCCCCCTCGTTACCGTACGTGCGACTCTCACCGCATACGGCTCGCACAAAGACTCCTAAATCCATCCCGAGCCTTTTCTTCCACCTCTCCTCTCCAATCCTCGATGAAACTTGCGTTCCCCAGGCGCTATGAAATGGGGGTCTTTCCTTCGCCTATCGTA